TTCATGGTACAAAATGCTATTAACTTCATTAGAGAAGGGAATCTTCCCATTTGATCTGTACTACTTTCTCTTATCCTAGAGGTGGTGCTGTCTACAAGGAAGCCAATGGTAAGCAGAGGAAAAAGGAAGAGGAGGGGAAAGGAACAGAGTGGAGCTTGTCTTCCCAGTGTATAGTGAGGATACAAATAATGGAAAATGAAACAAACCACACCAATCTGAAGAAAATTAAAGAAAGGAAGTTGTGGGAGAAAAGAGGGAGGTGGGAGGCAACCCTACCAGTGAGAGTACTTCATGGTGGTTGCTGTAGAGAAGTGTTGTGTACATGAAGACCATTTCAATCATTGATCAGTGAACACATTATAGAGAGAGCTCACTTATTTTCCTTATAGTGTGATCTTACTTACATGGCTGAGTTAGGACCCCTTAAACAAAGTAAAATACAAAATAGAAATGCACAGACAGTGGAAGCAGTGGTCTACATCCTGAAAAGTTTGTAAGGACACAGCCTGGCAGTTTAGGGTTGGGACAGGGAAAGGCAAGGCACTGCAAGAGTGAAACTTGACTAGGAATGTGAAGAATACCAGGAAGGATTTCTGCAGGTATAGAACACTGAAAAAGAAGACATAAGAAATTGTAACCTCTGATGAGTGAGACGGGGAACTTGGCTACCGCTGACATGGAGAAGACTAACATATTCAACAACTTTTTGGCCTCAGTCTTCAGCAGTATTTGCTCGTACTATACTTCCCAAGTCTAGAAGTAGGGACTGGGGAAATTAAGTCCTATCCACCATATGATGCTCTGAGACCATGTGAGGAATTTGAATATGCACAAGTCCATTAGACCCAATAAGATGCATCCCAGAGTCTTAGGGGAACTGACAGATTAGATTGCTAAACCATTCTCCTTCATATAAGAAAAGTAATGAAGTCCCAGTGGCTGGAAAAGGAGAAGTGTAACAGCCATGTTTAAAAAGGATAAAAAGGAGGATATGTGGAGCAACCTTCAACAGACCAGTCATCTTCACATTTGCACACTGTAAGATCATGGAGCAGATCCTCCTGGAAACCATTTTAATATATACAGAAAGCATGATTGTAGACAGCCAGTATTCACAAAGTGCATATCATGTCTAGATAGTTTGGTGACCTCCTACAACTGATTGACAGCACTGGTGGACAAGGAAAGAAGAGATGATCTACCTTGACTTGTGCAAAGCCTTTGATATGGTCCCACACGAGATCCTTATCTCTAATTTGGAGAGACATGGATTTGGTGGGCCATTTGGTGGGTAAAAAATCAGCTGAGTGATTGCATCCGAAGTGTTGTGATCAGCATCTCAGTGTCCAGGTGAGACCAGCACCTCATGGGCCCATATTGGTACTGTTTAATATCTTTATTGGTGACATGGATGTAGACATGAATAGGGACAGGATGCCATCTAGAGGAATTTTGACAGGCTTGAGAGTTGGGCTTGTGCAAACCTCGTGAAGTTCAACAAGGCCAGTTTGCTGCACCTGCAGTCTCCAAACATCTGAACTAACTGGCTGATGAATGGACTTGGAGCAGCTCTGTGCAGAAGGACATGGGGGTAATGATAAATGAAAAACTCAACATGAGCTGGCAGTACATGCTTGCAGCTCAGAAAGCCAATTGTATCCTGGGCTGCATCAAAAGAAGTGTGGCTAGCAGGTTGAGCAAGATGATTGTCCCCAGGGATACCTTATTATTGTCTTCTGATGCTTTAGGGGACTCTAGAGGAAAAAATAGTGAGGATCACTATCAGGAAAAGATGTAACAGTGCCAAACTAAAAGAAGATAGATTTAAATTAGATATAAGGAAGAAATTCTTCTCTGTTGGGATGGTGAGGCACTGAACACATTCCACAGAGAAACTGGAGTTGTTCAAGATTCAGGCTGGATGGGACTTACAGAACCTGATCTAGTGGGTACAACCAGCCCATGGCTGGTGTGTGGAACTAGATAGTCTTATTGTCCTTTCTAACCCAAGATATTCTGTGAGACTGTGTTCATGCCAGTGTGTGTAATTCAGTTGTTCAAGGGAAGACCACTGTTAGAAAAACATTAAAATGACTGCAAAATATATGAGACTGGGAAAACAGAAGGGAGGCTGTATGTTAGTTGTTCTTCTTTTATTCAGGAAACTCAAGTTTAGATAAATCTGGAAACACACATCAAGAAAACCTAATTTCCAGTGTTTGGTACCTGAATTCTTTTTCAGGGCTTGCTCTGCCTCTGAATATCATGTTTGTTGCCAGTCCATGTAAATTTGTGAATGCAGTACGTACTGTTCTTCTTTCTGGATTGCAAACTGATTTTGACATTCTTTTCAAATTAGCACCCCTTTTTCTTACAAACAAAAACCAAAATCCTTTGTGGTCTTGCTTGCTCCAGCCTGTCTTGCTACACTTATTTGTCTCTGTGTTCCTCTCCCTCTGTTTGTGTAGCAAAGACATCCTTCCTTTAGTTTTAGATAGTGTCTTCACTGTTGTGAGTCTTCTCCGTTACTTCTTCTGCCACCTTGAACAATGTTTCTGTGACTGCCTTTTAACTTTCATTTTTGTTTCAGAACTCCACTGGAAATGCATTAGTTTTTCCTCATTTTTTTCCCTCCTCCTTTGCTGTCATTTAAAGGTTTTACTGCTAACATAACTCTTAATGCATTGCATAACAAAACTACAGAAAGTGAAGTTGTATAGACTACCTCTTGTACCTATTTAAGTTGAAAGTAAAGTTGCTGCTGTCTTGAATATGAGCAGGCTTGGGCCCTCAGCAAAATTTTATATAAATGAAACTCCATATTATACTACTACTTGAGAGTCTGTTTTTTCAAAACAGTAAATTGTACTGTTCTGGGCCATGTCTTTTGCTCAAAATGGAACTCGCTTTTGTTGGCTCATTCCTAGCTTTGGTAAGGGGTTTTTTTGTTTTTTGTTTTTTTTTTAAAGAGGAGATTTTGGTAAAAACAGTTATCTTCTTTGTTTCAAATATATTTGGAGCAAATAAGTTCCTTTTGCTCACATACTGTTGTGAGGTTAAGAAAATTACAGGAGTAATGTATGTTCCACTGACAATACCAATCAAAGCTTTTTGATGGTAGTGGTAGATGTTGCCAAAGTGGAATAGAGTGGAACAGTGTAAGTGGTTGCTGCTGCATATAAAAGGCAGAGGCTTTTTGTGGCAGACAAAGAAAGATGAATCCTCAGCCTCTTACAAGACATTATAAACATTATACTAAATTGGAGGTAGCAAAATTTGTTGAGGCTGAGCAGTAAGGTTTTTTAACTTGTCCTTTCTTTGCACAACTTGACCTTCTAGTGTCATTAGGTAAGGAGATAATTATACCCCTATGCCTTGTGGTAGCTACTTGATTATTTTCAACCTCCGCATCTTTTTTTTTTTTTTCCTGTTGATAGTGTTCCATATCCCTGCTTAGAACATTGTTGCAAGTATTAATGTTTTCTTAAAATAAGTGAAGTTTGTTTGTTTCCACAGTTTCCATGGGCACACGTAATTGCGCATGATTCGGTAGGCTAGGCTCTTTCCAAGAGTAATTAACCTATTAGTATGGGGTATCAACAGTACTTCTGCCCACAAATGGGTACTTAAATGTGACTCTTATGCTGTTCTCTTTTTAGAGGCGCAGATGTAAACCTAAGCAGTATTTAGGTTAATGAAAGGTAGGCTGCCCCAAAATATCTTGAAGTTTGTTCACACGTGTTTGCATATATAGTCAGCATATAAGATACTCTCTGTCTTCCATCACTGTGTTCCTATACCATTAAGTCTTATCTTTTTACCTTCTATTGGATTTTCTAATCTTGTTATAGCAGTTCCTGGATTATCATGGCCTGAAAACTGATTTTGGCAATATTCTATCTGATTCTGAGCTTTAATTTCTAGCACATCTATATCTCAGATTGCCAAGTCTGATCCATAAGCTAGTGTTGTTTGTTAAAACTTATCTGTCAGTTTGGTACTGACAGAACACAAAGAAAAGGGTTTGTAATCTTTCTAATGTCATATAGACAAGACAAAAGTGTAAGGAAGTGATCCAGAGTTGACAGAATTAAATGTTAATCTCTCGTGACTGAAGATGCTATTAGATTTCACATCTGATACAATTATTGGGCAGTAACACTGCTTTCCTTGCATTAATAACATCTCAGTAACTATAGATTTTTTTACAGCTGAAGATATCAGCAGATAGAGGAATGTTAAAGTCTTAAGTATAGAATCATCAAATCAAAGAATCACTAAGGTTGAGTGATCATCCAAGATCATCCAGTACGAACATCCACCTATCACCAATAGTTCTCACTAACCCAAGTCCCTCAACATATCTAAACATTCCTTGAACACCTCCAGGGTCGGTGACTCCACCACCTCCCTGGGCAGCCCATTCCAGTACCTGATAACTCTTTTGGAAAAGTAGTATCTCCTAGCATCCAGCCTAAATCTCCCCTGGAGCAATTTGAAGCCATTCCCTCTACTCCTATCTCTATTTACATGGGTGAAGAGACTGACCCCCAGTTCACTACAACCTCCATTCAGGTAGTCATAGAAAGCAGCAAGGTCTGCCCTGAGCCTCCTCTTCTGCGGACTAAACAATCCCAGCTCTGTCAGCCACTACTCATAAGACCCGTGCTCCAGACCCTTCACCAGTTTTGTTGCCCTTCTTTGGACACTCTCTAGGGCCTCAATGTCTTTCTTGCAGTGAGGGACCTAAAACTGAACACAGCACTCAAGGTGCAGCCTCACCAGTGCTGAGTACAGATACAAGTAAACGATACTGAATCCATGATGGTCACATGACTCCTCTTACACAGCTTAGTGTTAGATTTTTTTTCTCTTCTTCAACAAAAATACGAGGACATAAAGTGAGAGATACAACCCAAAATCTCAAGTACACAAAAATATCAAGTACTGACTGGGTGCTGTGACTGATGAATCTGCACAAATGTTCCTTTTATTCACAGGTATCATGAGCTGGTACTACTATGTAACTATGCCAATGCCAGCATCCACCTTCACTATTGCTGTGGGGTGCTGGCAGGAGGTCAAACAGCAATGCTTCACGGCTGGTATCCACACAGAAGATGAGTTTTCCGTGCCATTTTCACAAGCTGATCTCAGGTTGGTGTTTGGAATATTGTTGAGAAGTGACATTTTACTCCACGGTGACATTTTCTCCATGGAAGGTGAAAATAAGCCATTTCAGTACAGGAATCAAAACAGAATTTGTTTCATCTTACTAAAAAAATCATGGCAGGGAAATAATTCCCAAGGGTTTTTTCATGGGTAAGGGTGTGGTTCTTTTTATGTAAAAACAGTTTCATGAGCAATAGCACTAATCCTAGCATTCTCTGGATTTGCATCTCACATCCTGTGGTGTTTAATGCCCTGCTGCAAGACTACCAGATTCTCCAGTTTTTATTACAGTCTCTTGCTGTATGGTCCTCAGTGCTACTTACCTTGGTACATCCTGGATATTTAGTGCCCACTAGTGCCATAGTTCCTAGCAAATGCAAGCCCCTACTTGTCCTTTCTTTTACAGTCCCATTGCAGAGTTAGAGCTGGCGTGTGCAGTTGTTTGCCTAGATTGGTGTGTAATGTTACGGTGGTTCTGTGAAAGAATTTTGGACATTCGTTCAGTTCAATGAAAAATAGGCTGTTGTCCAGTAAATGCAGTGGCTATTTTGCTATCTTTCACAAAGCCTGTAGAAATGTAATTATTTTGGATACATCTATCTCTCTTTTCATTCTAGTAAAAAAGATTCACTGCATTTAAATTATTACAGGGTTGTCTGTCTGTTTAGATATTTATAAACATTAGTGAGATCTTCCCTCAGTCTTCTTTTTGCCAGGCTGAAAAGACCCAAATTACTCAGCCTTTCCTCTAAAGGGAGATCCTCCAGGCCCTTTATCATCTCTGTGGCACTCTCCTTGTTCTTGGAGATTGCTGTGAATGAACATTATAATGTCATACAGTCCTTCCAATGACAACTGAAGTTAAAAATTAATCTTCTGGAGCACCAAAGCTTGATTTCACATGTATTCACCCTAGTTAACAGAAGTCTCAGACATAGCTTAAAAAAAACCCAAACAAATGAACAACAAAAAAAAAAACCCTTACTCATAAGATATCTGTTTTAGGGCTAATACTGTGTTAGCATTAAGACTGTGGAACTCCTTACCATTTTGATAAGAGTTGGTGAGGATTTGGAAACTGTGGACGTAATTCCTAGAATTTAAAATTAAAGACTCTGATGACTTGCAGCTTAGCTAATTTTGTTTTTAAAAAATCCTAATAAATCTTGGGAATAGGAACTTTTATGTTTTGTCTAACATCAGTAACACATGCCTATTCAAGCTTTGAAGCAGTTTATACATATTATAAAGCTTTTAGAAATTATTTTCTGTTTATTCCTCTGCTATTTATTTGTTTGTTATATGATTGTTGTACAGAAGTACTCCGTAACTGTAACTATGTAACCATGTAACTGTTTCTCAAATGTACAGGATATTTGGTGATTGATTTGATGCAGGATATTAATCTGACAGTTTGTTTAATTTTTATTTTTTGAAAACTTTGGGAAAATGGGATTTTCTTTATCTTTCTGTAGCAAAAAATACTGTAAGTTCTAACCAGTGTGATGGTCATTTGTTTTTGTTGAATGAATTGAAATCTGCAACAAGTGATCTTTAGAAGAAAAAACTAACCCAAAAAGATTTTTTTAAAAAAGCACATTTGGGAGTTAGCACAGCAATTACTCACTGTTTATTTAAATCATTAAGACTAAGTAACCAAACCTGTAGCAGAGGTTTCTAGAAAGGATATGAAATTGGTATCAAGCAGATATTAAAGTAGTGTCTCAGGAATGATAAAGGGTATAGACTCTTGAGCAGCAGGAAGAAGGATCTCCAAAAATAAATTACTTGAATGTTTAATATAATTTATGTTCAGGCACTAGCAAGCTTGGTGTGAGGAGACTGCATCAAAATAGTAAATGGAGCTAGAATGTAAAATAAGTTTCCTATCTCCATAAGGACTAATTGGCAAATGTTAAGAGAATTGAGCTGCTAGCTTTTATGTTCCTGTTTAATCTCAATTCTGACAATTAAATACAAATTTATATTCTTTTAGAGCAAAAATATTCTTGTTTAGACAACTCTTGGAAAAAAAATAAAGGTGTTTAATGGTAGATAGAGTTTTTCTGCTTATGTAATAAAAATCTACTTCTTTTACACAAGGTGTTTGTTTCACACTTAGAAATTTTGGCACTTCCGAGAAGCATACTCTCTTCTACATCTTATCATTTGTTTTTGTGTATCAGCACTCACATGGAGTGAATTTTTACTTTTACACTCTTTCAAATATAAATGCTTTTTGGTGATGCTTGGTGAGTAAGTGTTTTGTCTGTCAAAGCATAGTAGAACCAGCTTCTTGAAGCTGAAATCTGATACCCAGGAGAGGCTCTGCCCTGTAGAGAAGACAAGTTAGCAGGTGAAAACATGAAGCTGATGTCTGCTCAGATACAAGTCTATTTGGACAGATAAAGGTGTATGACTCAGTTTTAGGAAGGATTACATTTATTCATCTTTCTAGCCCCAACTTTGAATATTCTGTAAGAGTAACTTATTATTATGTTGCTACTAATGTGATAGCTGTGTTGATCAGACTGAATTGATACCTACTTTTTTTTTCATTTAAGGAAAAAAAAAAAACAGTAAAAGCTCATGGGGATTTTTTTTTTTTAACAAAAAATAACAACAACAGAAAAAAAATTTATTATAGTTGCATGTAATAAGGGAGTAAAAAAATTTTTGGATCATAATTTAAGTAGGAATTCTCTGAATTAAGAAGCATTCTTGTATCATTACTTAGTTTTTAAGTTTTTTTATTCATATTTATTATAAAAGCAAGGTTTGGCTATTTTTTCTTTTTGAGTTCTAAGTAACTGCTAAGTATCTGCTCTATTCAGATGTGTAATCTTTTTTCACAGTGCTAAACATGGATGAATGGTATAAGAAGGTTAAATGAGGTGGATGTTGTGAACTAACTGTATCATTCTGGTGTCTGGAAAATGTCTGTATGTTAGTATATTCAATTGTGTATTTCTGTGTCACATTAAACTATTTTTTTGTTGTTACTGTCAGATGGCATAAAGAAAGCTGTGGTCATGTGGAATATCCCTGCCGTTTCCAAAATCCTGCTGCCATGTTGCAAAGAGTCATTCCCTATAGAGTCTTTGCTCCCTTGTGCCTCATGGAATGCTGTGAAGAACATTTACTTCAGCTTATTCCTCAGTGCCTTTCAGCTGCTTACTCCACACTGGGCACCCATCCCTTTTCCAGGCTTGATGTTTTGATAGTTCCTTCAAACTTTTCCAGTCTGGGAATGGCTAGGTAAAGAATGCTTTTACTGTCTTACCTCATTCTGTATTTTGTTAGATTCCGTTTTATCATCTAATTAATAGAGTAAAATTGCTGTAATATAAAACTGTTTTATTAAATCAATTTAAAAATGCTAGTTGTTACTAGCTGGGTTTTGCTTAGTAGATTTACTTGCGTACTTTGTGCTGAGATCTTTAATTTCAGTGTTGTAAAGACTTGGGAAGTAAAATATAAGTTATAACACGTGTGTCTGAATTTCTGCTTTGCAAAACTGAAGTTTTTTTAAAATTCTATTAATTGCAGTACTTGATGCTAATATAATTTTGTGTTTGTTGTTGTTGATGATGACTTTATCATTATGTCCTGACAGAACATGTTAAAATTCAGATATGTAGTTTATTTATAAGTCTTTTTTGGTTTAAGATTTTCTAGTCAGGCACTGGGCTTTGGGAGCTGAGGAGGGTGAACTATTAAGTATTCATGTAATTGTGGAAAATAAAAGGCTTAATTAAATATTATTATTTTGACAGTACAATTTCCAGTTGTACAATAACAGAAGAATTTTAGCTCTAGTACTAGTACAGCAACACCTAGCAATTAAAATTTCCCATTTATTTTTTAATTTTCTTAAAAATATTTAAGTTGCTTATCAGATAGCATTTGCTAATAGCAGAGAATAAAATGCTATTTGTTTTACTGTTTCCTAGTACCAACACTAGACTAGAAGGTGTATATATTATGGAGTAAAACATACGAAGATGAAGGCTAAAGGAGAACTACAAGGGTTGCTCCGAAAGTAAAACATCCTATTTTATAACACTGGCCGACAACATTCCAGGCAGAAGTTGATCATATGGCAGTAGAGATTTCTACCACTGTTCCATTACATTTTGTTGCCATGTGACAGATGGCAGTAGAGGGGCAGTCTGACAATACGGTGTCTGATAAATTGTACAACTTATCAAATATGAAAATTTCTGTTTCATGCTAGGTGTTTTGATTTTCCTTTCTGTAGATTTCTGTATTCAGCTTTCATCTTGCAATCACCCTCAGGGATAAAAAAAAAAAAAAAAAATTGCTGTCATGTAATAATAGTGTATAGTTTTTGTTGTAGGTTTACTTTTTTAATGACTATAAAGTTTAAGAATCCAACATTCAATGATTCTCTTCTTTTTCACATCAGGCTCATATCTGCAGATAACTTGAATATGTTACTGAGTTTTCAGTGATAGGTTTTTGCTTAATAGACTCATAAATTAAAGCATGAAACAGACTCCTTGTTGCTTTGGTCACCTACCACAGATTATATTTGATTTGGACATATGTGTGATGTTGAGTACCATGTTCTTGAAGCTGTATGAAGTTGAGAGAGCTGCTCAGTAACTTCTTCTGACTTCATAGACATGGTTCACAAAGATTGACGTGTGTCCTTTCCAGTCATTTCTGTTAGTGAGAAAAAGGCTACACATTTCACTTAACTGTATGATGAGAGCAATGATCAGTGGAACTATGAGGGACACAGGATGTACACACAGAAAAAGAAAAAAAAAAAAAAAGAAAGTAAAAGGAGTGAGAGATGTGTAGGCCAAAATGATAATATTGTATAGGAACAATCTTCAAGATTCTGTTCTTGGTATGTTTCTGCTCTTTGGGAAGATGGCAATGCTTCCCCTGCATATACCTTTCCCAGAATTTGTAGGGAAAAGATGCCTGGAGGATGTTCTGTTGGAAAACCATCTGTGGTTATCTGAATCCATGTATTTGGAATTTGTAATAATGCTTTCTTTGTGGAGGAGATGAGAAAACCTCTGTGTATATTTCCTTATGCTTCCTCTAATGACTGTTCATTCCAAATGATCCCTATCACTAAATGTAAGTAGAGGATGAAAGAAGGAGAATGCATACTTCCTGATGCATTTCATTCATCAGTTCATCAAGCCAAGCACATTCAAATTTTTTTAAATCGAAATAAAATAATAAGTTATTTAAATGTCAAGTTGTTTGGACAGCAAAGGGAGTTATTATGTGACTCATAAGAGCTCGCTTGTTCTTGTTTCATGTGATATATTTTTTTCAGAGATTCTTTGCATAAAGCAGCTACTTACATGGTTATTCCTGCCCATGCAATGATAATTACATGCATGGCTTCATTTAAGACTAAGTTGTGTGCAAAACCATGCCCAAACCCACATTATTAAAAAAAAAAAAAAAAAAAGTTTGCTGTTTTCTTGGGTTAGAAAAGGTACCATTTACCTTTTTATCTTCAAGTTTGTCTCTAACAGTATAACATAACACAGCATGCTAGCACAGAGGGACTACCATTTTGAGAATTCTAATTGTATTCCTGCCTGCTAGGAAAGGTAGCAATCATAAATTTTAGTCATCACCTTAAGTATCAGGGCTTTAGAGCATTTAGCACTTTCTTTGTCTGTTCCTCATTAGCCATACTTATTGTGTTCTTATATCCCAAAATACTTTCTTTTTCTTAGTGGGGTGTTTCCTCAGCATTTTATGGTGGTTTAAAATGATCATAGTTCTTGCATGGAGTGACCTAATTAGGTGTTTTAAGCTGTCTATTCTAGCAGCTGATACTGTGAGACAGTTGCATTTCCCTTGAAGTCTGACTTTATGGGAAAAATTCTGCTTGAAAACATGTACATTTTACTTATGTTTTCTCTACATCTCTTCCTGTCTTTTAAAATTTGCCTTTAATTTTTGTATGGAAACAAAATCTTGATTGCATATAATAATTGCCATCATTATTTCTTGCTTCCTGCATATCTTTGAAGTTGGAAAACTTAATTTTGCATACCTTCTTGATATCATGATATTTTAGTTCAAGTGACTCTGTATAGCTTCCCAGAAATTTCATGCTAGTAGAAGAAGAATGTGATCCAGATAGTTTTGTTGATATGTTATTAAAAAAAAAAAAAAGAAGAAAAGAAAGAAAAAAGCATTTTGGATCAAATTTAAACAGCTTAAAATCTAGAAATTCAGTGCTTTTTGCAGAACTTTGAGAACAGCACAAATGCCTAACAGCATCTTATTTCTGATTTTAAGTTCTCTTTTCACAAGGTAGAGAACTGGAGGAAAAAGGAGTAGGAATCATATGAGGCTGCAAAGATTATAGAGCTCCTAATTAGACTGTGCAGGGAAAAGATCATAGAATCATAGAATGGCCTGGGTTGAAAAGGACCACAATGATCATCTAGCTTCAAGTCCCCTGCCATGTGCATGATCACCAAGCACTAGATCAGGCTGCCCAGAGCCACATCCAGCCTGAATGCCTCCAGGGATTCACAGGGGCATCCACAGCCTCCTTGGGCAACCTGTTCCAGTGCGTCTCCACCCTCTGTGTGAAAAACTTCCTTCTAATATCTAATCTGAAGCTCCCTTTCTAATATCTAATCTGAACCTCCTCTGTCTTAGTTTAAAACCATTCCTCCTTGTCCTATCACAATTCATCCTCATAAACCATCGTACCACCTCCTTAACTTCCTTTCATTCTGCCAGAACCTACAGAGATTCTAAATTCCTTGTTCTTTTTCATTCCATGAGGAAGGGCAGTCTTCCATATATAGACTTTAATATTTTTGCCTCCTGAGCTTGTGTTTGAATCTTGACCCTCTTGCATTGTTTAATTGTATGAGTCTTCTCTTTTCTTGGAAGTCATTATTCCTTCCTTGCTAACCATGGAGGGCCTTTCACAGTCACTAATCTTTTGCATTTCTAGGCCTTTAGAAACTACTTTCCATTTTTCTACTTTTTCATGACAAATTCACTGATGCTTATTTTACTCCGTTGAGATTTGCGGACCTTTATTTTCTTTTTTTATGGACAATGGACTTCAAGAATTCTTTCTTTTTGCTGGCAGCATACATAATTTAAATAACATAGTTTTACTACTCTTTGTGTTTGACTTTGAAAACTTGCAAGTTAAAAAAATGTGTAGACCAAGCACTGTGTATTTAAGTTAGTCACTTCACATATCTGTGAGAGCTATGAATACGATGAAAAATATCTTCTTTGGTACATACCTGGCTCTTGTGATTTTCCATAAGAACTAGTAGTAACTGCTGAAAACAAACTAGTGGGATAGAGGGATCTTTGGGCTTAGCAATATGGTTGTTATTACAGAAAATAACTTATAATGAGATACCAATATTTTCAAAAAAGGATGCCAATTTTAGGCTATTTGAAACCTGAGCTCTGAAATTAGTGGCCTTATTTTTAAATGTGCTGGACATTCTTGAAAACCAAATGGTGTTTGATGACAGAAATATAGAGGGTTTTTGGGAGAGCTGTAGATGATGTCAGTTTATATTGCTGGCTAACTGAGGATTTGGCAACCCAGTAGATAATAAAGATCTTAGTTTCTTTTCTCTGTCATGTATGTGGTCCTTGATGGTATTTCAAGAGAAAGAAGATCCCTTTCTTCAAAGCATAACATCTCAGCAGAACTCTCGAGTCTTTCCAGGCCATGTCAGTAGGGATGTTAACTTTTTAAAATGAAGAGAAAAAAAATACAAAACAGAACAGAACAGAGCAAAACGGCAACAGAAAACAGCAAATCTAACCAAGCGGACTCTCTGATCTGCGTGCCTGCAGTCATCATTTATCCAATCTGTATGTCTGCAGTGTTCCAATAACAACTGGTGAGTCTGTAGTAAAAACAGCCAGGACTCTTGGAAACCATCCAAATGTCAAACCTAGTACTGTTCAGCCTTACAGAATTATGACTGACCAAAAGGCTCTAGATGCCTTTTGTGAGAGTATACGTTTACATAAACTTTTGGGCGGTCATTATTGGCAGTTGTGGTAGTTTAGGGAAATATTTGCAAGAGTAAAACTTAAATGTGAACACTCCTTGGTCTGTCCAGCCTAGTCAGAAATAACTACAAACAAAAGTTCAAGTAAAAAGAGTAGTAGTATGATGTCTGGAGAAAGCAAAATGGATAGTGAATGTATTTTTGTTTCATTATGTAAGAAATTTTTTCTTACTTTTTGTTTGT